GAGGGAGAGCGAGTTAGTGAGAGCGGAAGACAAAGACCGGGGAACGAGAGCGTTAGAGAGACAGAGCAATAGGTAGCGATAGATAGAGAGAGAGAGAGAGAGAGAGAGAGAGAGAGAGAGAGAGCGACAAATAGATACAGAGGGCGAGAAAGAGAGTGACCAAGAGATTGAGTGAGTGCGAGAGAGTGAGAGATAGTGGGCAAGAAATTGAGTGAGTACGAGATAAAAGAGAGAGAGAGAGAGAGAGAGAGAGAGAGAGAGAGCGAGTGAGAGAGAGGGAGAGAGAGAGAGAGGGAGAGAGCTAGTCCAAGCGCGGCAGGAAGCTGAAGCTTTCTGTCATGCACCCTTTAGCCAAAACGAAACAAAAAAAACATGAATGGCTCGTTGAGTGGTCGGAATAAATGGTTAAATGGTTGGGAAGAAGCAGAAGCGAGTCCAAAGTAATTAGCACACCTCCTCCCTCCCCTTCCAGCCGATGTTTGTTTGTGGGGGTTTAGCTTGGGGTGGGCTGGGCTAAAAGACAGACTGACTGGAGGGCCTGTTTCCTAAAACTTGCCCCATCAAATCTGAACCCCCAGCGGAAGAGACACACAAACGCATCAACTAGCTCAAGCCAGCTAACCAGATAGAAGCGCCTTCACCCCCACAGTCAAATCCCTTTGCAAATTGCCCCTCACTGGAATGCATGGGAATTCCGGGAACCGTTGCCTTTCGGAAATTCACGGGTATTTGGATTTCAGTAAAAAGATGGGGTAAGTGCTTAGGCTTAGACCGAAGCTGCCGCTTATGGTTTTCGGCTTGGCTTGGCTTGGGCTTGCCTTGGCTTCTTGTTGTGTGTGGGAGAATTAGAGCGTAAGATAGAGAGAGCGAGAGCGAGAGAGAGAGCTATAGAGGGCGAGAGCGATCGAGCAAATGGGAGAGTGAGAGAGACAACGCAATGTCGAGAGGTAGCGAGTGAGACATAGAGATGCAGAGACGAAAATCCGCTAAAAAATGATGTAGCTAACATAAAATTTGAATTGTAACAAAAAGTTCTTTCTTCTCTAAGGAAATATCCAGGAAAATGTTATGGCGCCGATATTTTTATTCCAAAGTTGCCTAATTCGAAATTCGATAATTTCGAATCGAAATCGTATATTTTCTAAACAACTTTAAGCAATTTTTTCATATAAAAGAGACCGGCAAGGCACACAACTAAAAGCAAAAATGCAAATTGCCAATAAGGCGACCTAAAAACTTACTTTTATTTTTTTTTTATTTTTTTTTTTAAAATAAAATAAAAAAAATATTATTTGTGTTTTTTTCTCAAAAGTAATTTAAAAAGAAGGGGGTTTTTTTGGGGTTTTTTTTTTTTTTTTATTAAAAAATTAAAAAATTTTTTTAATTTAAAAAATAAAAAAAAAAAATAAAAAAAATTAAAAATAAAATTTATTGGGGGTTGTTTTTGATATTAAAAAAAAAAAAAAAAAAAAAAATAAACATAATGAATGATTATATGGGGTTTGGAACCACAATAAAAAAAATTTATCATAAATAAAAAAAGGGGGGGAAAATATAGGCGGGGGTATGGTATATTTTCTTGCCATTACGCGAAATGAAAGGGACCAAGCTAGCAAAAAAAATAGGTTCGAATCCCCCTGGAACTGATAAAATCATCCCCAATTTCGCACGTGAAGCCAGAGGAAGCAAAAGAAGGGCGTAAGCCTAACCTGGGTCCTCCGAGAGGTCGAGGGGTGTAATAGAAACACACACGCAGCACACACTCACACGCCATTGAGGAGTGACGCTGCAACATGCCCTGGAGGGCACAAAAGAAAGGTTGAAAGTCGAGGGGGACCCCGAAAATACCTGGGCCACTTGGTGGGGCAATCAATCATTGGCCCATCTAACTTCAGCCTGTACCTGACGCATAAGAAGCGGCATTTACCTTGCAGTTTGCAGGGCTTTGAGGGAGTGGGACTCGAAAAAACTAGCATGAGCTTGCCTTAGGCTTAGACGTAGGGTAAGATAAGGCATGTGCTTAAGGGGCCCCTTTTTTGTTTTTGTTTAACCTTTTCCTCACCTTTTTTTTTATTTAGAATTTTTTTTTATGAAATTGCCCCCCTTTTTTTTTTTGGGGATTGGGGGTTTTTTTTTTTTAAATTTTAAAAAAAAAAAAAAATTTTTTTTTCCCTGTTGTTGGGCCCCGGCCGGGGGGGGGCGGGGGGGGGGGGGCCTTTTCCTTCCCCCCACCGGGGGGGGGGGGGGGGGGGGGGAGGCTTTCCTCCCCTTCTTTTTATTTTTTTTGGGTTTGGAAAAAAAAATAAAATTTTTTTTTTTTTTTTTTTTTTTTTTTTTTTTTGGGGGGTTTTGTTTTTTTTTTTTTTTTTTTTATTAATTTTTAAGATTTTTATTTTTATTTTTTTAATTTTTATTTTTATTTTATTAAAATTTTTTTTTTTTATTTTTTTATTTTGTTTTTATTTTTATTTAAAGTGATTTAAGGGAAAATGAGGGGTATTAAGTTAAAATATAAAATAAAATTTAAAATATATTTTTTTTTTTTTTTTTTTTTTTTTTTTTTTTTTGGTAAGGTGGGGGGGGTGGGGGGTGGGTTTGTAGGTGGGGGGGGGGTCGTTTGGGGGGGGGGGGGGGGGGGCGTTTTTCTGGGGCGGTTTTTGGGGGGGGGGGGTTTTTGGTCTTAAAAATTTTTTTTTATTTTTTTATTTAAAAAAAAAGAGGGGGCCATTTCGGGGAAAAAAAAAAAGGGGGTTTTTTTTTATTTATATTTTTGTGTGGTTATTTGTGGGGTGGAAATGTGTTTTTTTGGTGGGAGGAAAGGTTTAGGCTTAGTCAGGTTTCGGCTTAGGCTTAGGTTAGGATTGGCTTCGCTTAAGCTTTCAGGTTGGGTGTAAGCTTAGGTCAGGCATACGCGTAAGCTGGATGAGGCTTAGGCTTAGGACTAGGTTACGGCTTAAGCTTACGCTTAGGCTCAGGTTAGAGGCTTAGGCGTAGCTTAGGCTTACGCTGTGGCACTGGCTTCGCTTGACTTAGGCTTAAGCCTAGTTTCGGCTCAGGCTTCGGCTTAGCTTCCTCATTCGCTTCGACTTGGCTTGGCTTTAAATATGAACTTAGACCAGGCCTAGCTCAAGCCTCAGATTAACCAAGTCTAAAATTCTCAGCTTACCTAGCTTTGGCCGGGATGAACTTAAGTCTAATCTAGGCGTAGACGTACTCAAACTAGCTAGCTGCGATGCGACCTTAGGTTTAAGCTTAGGCCTCGCGCTACCGAGAATGCCATTTCTGGCCAAGAAAAACATCAGGATTACGGTAAGAAACTGGAAAATGGATCCATCGATACAGCCCAGTACATCGCTGACGAACCCTAAACACGTATTTTCCTGGCGCTACCGTACAAAAAACGGGTCGCGGCTGGTGCCCTGGCCATCTGCATCATTCAGCACAAGGGGGGCGAAAGTGAGAGTCAGAAGGGGGTGAGGTGTCAGTGTTTGTATGTAGACAAGAGGAGGCCGCTTCCCTTTCCTGGATCCTTTTTTGTGGTCCATGTCTGTCTCTCTCTCTATCACCCTCTACACTACGCTCCTCTGTACAGCACTTGAATGCACCTCCCGGTCGCGATGGTGCGCATCAGCAGCTGGCTTCTGACATTTACACATAAGGACTGGGGGAGAGAGAGAGGGAGAGAGAGAGAGGGAGTGGCCGAGAGAGATATGGAGAAAGAGTGGGATAGCGAGAGACAGACAGAGAGAACGAGACAGAGAACGAGACAGAGTGAGAGTGCGTGGAGAGAGAGAGAGAGAGAGAGAGAGAAAGAAACAGCAATGTTGCTTCTTATCCAGACCCAGAGGTTACCACCCCTTTAAAGGAAGTCCAAGGCGCTCTTTTGTATCTTCTTGGCTAGGGATTTTCTCCAAAATTGTGTACATCTCATTTTTCCGTTGCGTAATCGGTTACGACGTTGCGTATCTCTTTCTCTCTCTCATCCTCGCTCCCTTTCTCTCGCTCTCTCTCTCGCTCTCTCTCTCTCTCCCTTGTCACCCTCCCTTTAATGCACTCCTCCCCAGTGACCCCTCAAAAACGGCTCCCCCTCAAGGCGTCGGGGGTCCTACCTCGAAAGTGTTTGTCCGTCGTATATCACTCTGTTTGTCTGTCCGTTTGTCTGTCTATTTGTCGACAACCTCCCTATCGGGGGCGGGGGAGGCTGAAATGTTATCCCCCTCCGGGGTCCTTCTTTTCTTTTTTCCACTTGAAGAGGTACACCGCCCTCCCATTGAACGTGTGAATTCCCACACACAACTACAGACAATAGCGCCCCCCGGGCTGTCAATTCACCACCCTCAGAAAAAATGGGAGGAACGGACGTATAGAAGAAGGTCGCGTATTGTTTTTGGGATTTTTTTTGTTTGGATTTCTGGCTGCGTCCCACCAGGATTTTTGAGCACGACAAGGGGACATTTTGGACACCGAAAAAAGCTAAAAATTGATGGGTAGGCTTAGGCTTAAGCTTAGGATTAGGCTCAGGCCTAGGCTTAGTCTTACAAGGGAAGTGCACGACCGGCCCACGAGAAATCGACACGAGACAAAGTGGATCTGATAGAATCTGCCACGGGGATTCCGAATCTGTAATCAGAATTTGCTAAATAAAACGGAGAAAAAAGTTATGAAGCTTCAAAGATGGTAAAATCGCCCAAAATCGGACTTTTATGGGCCTGTAAAGGCCCAGGGAATGGAAATTTGCCACAACCCATTAGTGCAGCTTGTTCAGCAGAAGACGCGCTTTCGAATGAGCTATCTTACTTCAAGTTTACGATGATTTCGCGAAAATCTCTTCTATGAACTTGACAGGCCATACATACTTTGAGCCCGTGAATCCAAAAAACTTTTTTTCGGTGAATCATTTGCAAATGGTACGTATTACAGCTCATTTGAAAGCGCTTTTTTTGCTGAACAAGATGCACTAAATTTTTTTCGCCTCAATTTTGTTCCCCCGGTTTTTACGGGCCCTTAAAGGTACCGTTTTTGGCGATTTGGCCAACTTTGATGCTTCATAACTTTTTTCTCGGTTTTATTTAGCAAATTCTGATCACAGTTTCGGAATCCCCGTGGCAGATTCTATCAGAACCACTATGTCTCGTGTCGATTTCTCGTGGGCCGGTCGTGCACTTCCCTTGTTAGGCTTAGACTTACGCTTAGGCTTAGACCTACGCTTAGACTTAGGCTTAGGCCTAGCCTTACGCTTGGATTAATGGCTGTCAATTTTTTTCAGTTGTTTTTGTGCGTGAGATAAGTTAAAACTTTAACACTGTTATTGAAAACCAGAAAAAATATAGATTTTTTATCATAAATTCGAATTTTCGACGTAAAATTCAAAATTTTCTTAATTTTTATTTTTGAATATTTTTACCAATTTACCAAACGCCAAATTTTACGTAAAAATGGACTCTGGAATTTTGCGCTTTTTACAATAGCTTCAAAACTAAATCATTTATTACAAAAAATTATCGTCATTTTTACAGCAAATTTCCTAAAATATACAAAATTTATTCCCGTGGGCGAGACAGGAGATCGTTCGTGGAAAGGAAAATACAGAAAACATGGGAATATAGAAAAATTATCCCCACATTCCACCCATTGGCATTCCCATGCCACCCATCCCCATTCCGCCCATGCCTCCCATTCCGTTCATCATCATCATGCGGCGTTGCCTGGAAAGATACGGAATTTAGGGGTTTGAGAATATTTTAATATCTCGCTCTCTCTGCCACTCTCGCTCTCTCTCTCGCTCTCTCTCTCTCTCGCTACCCTCTGATCGCCTTGAAGACTAAGTCTAGGCGGGAGTGTAAAAAAGGAAAAGTGAGAAGATGCGCGAGAACAAGAGAGAGAGAGAGAGAGAGCGAGAGAGCGAGAGAAATATCGTAACCAACTTACATCATCATACGACGTCTCCATCCCCACGGTCCCATGCCCATACCGCCCATTCCCATCCCACCCATCATCGGGTTCATTCCCATGCCCATCACTGAAAATTGAGTCTTAGGCTTAGGCATGGCTTGGATTGGTTCAGTCTCGAGCTTCCACTCACTTCCTGGCATAAATTGAGCATCAACGGCGAGAAGCAAGGCGACGAAGACAAGGAGGATTGTCGATTTGCTCAGCATCTGGAATGCAAAAACTAAATGCCTTAAAAACAAATAACTAGTCAGCAAGCCAAAACAAGAAAAATCAAAAACGGTTAACCAACGAAAAACGATAAAATCTACACAGACAAGCATCTTCATGCAGATGCAAGACAAGGTACTTCTAAACTTTGGAATGCTCACTCAGACAATAAAGCCAGAGTTCAACGACTAAAAAATCTGGATACTATCACGATGAAAAGATTTGCTCCTGAGTAGTGAAGTGGCATCCGCCAGGTGGTGGACGGCTTTTATGGAAGAAATCGAGCCGGTTATCCTCAATTTGCGTCTCTCTCTCTCTCTCTCTCTCTCTCTCTCTCTCGAATTCTCAGGATTTGTCAGGCCGGGAAAATACAGCTCATCCTAGAGACACGTCCAGGTTCTTATCACTTATGTGATCTATTTCTCCGACTCTCTTCTCTCTCTCCCTCCCTCTCTCCTGCAATTTCCTTGATCCTATTGAAAAACGCTTAAGATCCCGTCATCCTCATCATCCCAAATTTTCATGGATAACAGCAATAGTTTTCCGGGGTTCGCCAAATGCCACATGTTTTTGGGGGGCAGGGGAGGGAGATCGAGATTGCAGTGGTGAGACGGATTTGACTTTGGTCAGTTTGACTCGGTCTTGTCGGTATTTATCTGGATTTGCTAATTTCGGGTTATTCCATACCTTGCCATTCTTTTTAAAGGGCTTGGAAAGGCAAGAATTTACCCCAACGTTCGATTGCGCGTCGACAATCTCTGGTCGTAAAAGAGGAAATACGTATTTTTCAACGGGGGTGTCGGCAGTTGCCTTCGTTTGGTTCAGGTCCTTTCAAGGAACCAGAGCAAAAAATAACGCAAGCCTACTCGGCCATACTCTGTCAACACCTAGCCTGCCGCAGGGGTTGGTTCTCACGCTTCCCGCGCCCTTTAAACGAGTTAGTAACTCGAAGCTGCCGCACATCCGTTGAATTACCCGTCGTAATGCATTGTTCTGTCCCTTAAAATGAATCAAAAATGACAAATACACGTCTAAGATCTGCTCGATGGTAATAGGCATTTATTTGTAAAAAAAAATACAATTTGTACACATAAAATCGTCGATATGTCATTTGGAGAAGCGAAATCGGAGAAATAGGTCGATTTAGCCGAAGAAACCGCCGCCATACTGTAGACGGTTCAGCCTGAAACGATCAGTAAAAACGTGAAAGAGAGAGAGAGCGAGAGAGAGAGAGAGAGGAGAGCGGGACAGAAAACTATGGAGAGAGAGTGATATACGTAGAGAGCATGAGCGAGCACGAACTAGGGAGCATGAGCTAGAGAGCGAAAATATACCGATTCTGCAGCCTGTAGATCCTGTTCATCCTCAGCCGGCAGAAAAGTCCACAGCCATACATTCCGTATCCGCCGTATCCACCGTATCCACCGTATCCATAGCCCGGATAGCCCATACCGTATCCCATGCCGTAGCCTGGAAAAAGGAGCTTGAGCTCGAAATTTATAATTTTGAGGAAATTTGGGGGCCTAAAAACTGGACCTCCTCCGTACGGCATCCCTCCCATACCGTAGCCCATGCCTAGAAATGGAGCTCTGAAATTGGTGGTGGCCGCTGGACACGGCAATACTATCGACACCCACACCAAGTGAGAGCGCGAGAGAGAGCGAGAGAGCGAGAGAGATCGTGCGAAAGAGATGGATAGAAGGATGGCGCAACGGAACAAGAAAGTGAGAGAGAGAGAGAGAGAGCGAGAGAGAGCGAGAGAGAGCGAGCGAGAGAGAAGGTGAGAGGGAACGGCAAATGATATTCCTGCAAGATTCCTGCTCCCAGCATACAAGCTTAAGCGCCCAAGCCAAGTCCGCAAAGCAAAGCTGCAAAAAAACACCACCAAAAAACAACCCTAACCCAAAAATCCGGGCCGAAAATCCCAAAAAAAAGCGTCTGCTTACCTGGATAAAATTGAGCATCAACCGTTACCGACAACAGCCCGATGGCCAAGATGATCGCGAGCAGGCTGCGCATTTTGTAATTTATGTATTTATTGTAGTTATCGAAGAGGGAGTCTCCAAGGATCCCTGCAAAATCCCGGCCCTTAAATAGCCCACACCAGCGCCCGGTTTCGCAATAATCCCGCGTGGCCCAGTTTCTCGGCGCCGCGCCAGTTCGTGGATTCGGCGAATCGGAGAGGGGAAAGAGAGGGAGAAAGTGAGAGAGAGAGAGAGAGAGAGAGAGAGAGAGAGAGAGAGAGAGAGAATGATCGAGTCAGACTATACTTTCTGACCTTGTTGGCTTAGCTAGTCGGGGCGCATCACGTCAAGGGCAGAAAGTTCAGCGAAGAAAACCAAAATTGAGGGCTTGGGCTTAGGCTTAGTTAAGCTTAGGCTAAGGCCTAGGTTAGGCTTAGGCGTAGGCTAGCTAGCTCATATTAGCTTGCCTTCACCTTCTCTCCACGGTTATGAATTTTAACCTTTTTTTTGCTTCACATAGTTGCTTTTCTTCTTTTTTGCCTTCTTGCTGATCTTTAACATTTTGGTGAATTCCTTTACATGCAAACCCCCCGATCAAACTTTGACCTTGACGACGCGACCGATTCTATTTACAGATTCGTGGATGCGTGTCTGGTTGAACCTCCCGTGAGAACGAGAAAATCAACAAGGCAAAACCAGATCCCCAAATTGAATCCAGGCCTCTAAATTTGGGAAAAATATAAACAAACAAGGATCGCATTGAAAGGGCAAAAAGTTGGCACCGATGGCCGTCAGAGGGCAAAAATTTTGAGAATGACGTGTTGAGCGTGTAATTGTTGGGATTGGCGCTCCTTTCAGTGGAACCATAGTGCTCTCGGGAAATGGTAAAATTGTGAAAAATAAATTATTGCACTCAAAATCGAGATGGAGCAGGATATAGACTCAAAATCTCTTGCTTTCTCGGGCTTTCCTTGGCTTTTCTTAGCTTTCTCCGGTTTTCTCTATCTCTCTCCCTCTCTCTCTTGCTTGCTCTTTCTTACTCTCGCTTTCTAACGCCTTCACTCTCTCTCTTTCTCTCTCTCTCTCTCTCTCTCTCTGTCTCTCTTTTGTCTTTTTCTCTCGTTTTGCTATCGTCCCAGTACTGCAGTTATCGGCTTGCCGGAAACATCCCTTTAAATTCACCGGAAAAAGTGACAAAGTGACCCTTTGAATTCAAAAAATGCCCTACTTATAATTTAACCCTAATTTGCATCCGTCTGGGCCCTAAAATCGCTTAGGGTGTGAATTTCCGGAAGTTGCGCCAGATTTGGGCGCAAACTTTCGTATAAAACACGGCCGGCTGGGTGGAGAAGTACAACCTGTTCACCAGGCTTAACATCAACAACTCCACGATGGGCGACAAGTCGGCGTACATGACCCCTGGCGGCTACAGCGGCGGCGGCGGCGGAGGTGGCGGCGGAGGCGGAAGCTATGCCCGGTCGCTGTCTCTATCTCTCGCTCTGACTCTCTCTTTCTCTCTACCACTCTTGCTCTCACTCTCGCACTCTCTCAATCTCCTTCGAAACTCCTTTTTTCAGCGAGGACTACGCTTTCGGCGGCGGCAGCTACGGCAGCGGCGGTGGCAGCTCTGGAGGTGGCGGCGGCTCGTCGACCCCCGGCGTGACGAAGCCCCGCACCGACGTCTCGTGCTACATGGGACCCAACTGAGCATCAGCCCCCTCCTCCTCCCGAAGCTTCTCCTCCCTGAAGTCAACAACGTCGACCACCCATCCACCCTGTCCGCTCTTTATCAATAAATGGCTCTCGGTGGCGACCCGCAAATAAAGTCTCCAATTTTACACTGGATATTCTTGTGGACTGGAGAGACGCAGTACACACCACGGTACACAGTACGCTACAGTACGCTACAGTACGTTAGGTTACAGAGTTGGAAAGGCGTTGGTGGAAAGTTCTTGGTTTGGTGCCGAATTCTGATCGACTGGTGATATTTCTGCGATTCTGGGATAATTGGCCGAATTTTGATAATTTAAGTCTGTCGTTTTCTCTATCCTCTCTCTGCCTCCTCTCTCTCCCTCTCTCGCCTCACTCCTAAAACCCGACCGCGGCAACTAGTCATTTACAGCCACCAAAATAGGGCAAATCCCTCTCCAGACCCCGATTCCGATGCATAACTATAGACGCCAGGGTAGGCGGTGAAAGGCGTTCAGAACCCGTTCACCCTTGCCACCGCCGTTCTTGGCCATAAAACGGAATTGGACGGAGCTGTGCCCCATCCCATCTTCTGCCAAAGTACTCTCGCGTAGTCTTCAATCTTGTGCCGCCCGGATCTCCGGCTTAATGGGCTTAAGCCTTTGAAAAATTAGCAAAAAAGTTAACTGCTAAAAAACCTAAAACTCCGAATTTTTGGCTTTACGGCGGTTTCCCAAAGGTCCCTGCCATGTCAGTCCCTTTAAAAGTACGGTACACTCCGGAAGAGTACTGTGCTCAGGGGCACACTACGCTCAAAATCTCTTCACGGTCAGGGGCCAATAAGAATCCCCCTTGAACTTCCGAGACTTTCCTCTAGTCGTTCTGGCTATTCATTACCCACGTAAGTAGCAACAATACGTAGCCTTTCTCTCTCTCTCCCTCTCTCTCTCTCTCTCTCTCTCTCTCTCTCTCTCTCTCTCCTATCCATTCTTTATCCAGGCGCTTAAGGGCTTTCCGGGTACATCCTCCTTACGCCCTCGAGTCTGACTCCGGAACACGAGGAGTTCCGGGTTTCCCTAGCGTCACCGTGTTCCGTTCTTTCCTTTTTACGGTCCGCGTTTATTTATCCGCTTTTTCTAATCAGTCTGAACGAACGCAGAACTTACGGTATCTTATGATCAAAAACTGAAAGCACTAGCTTAGGCTTAGCTTAGGCTTAGGCTTAGACTTAGGCTCAGGCTCAGGCTCAGGGTTAGTCTTACTCCCCTATTACCCCAGCCCGACAAGCTAAAGATGACGGATCGGGTTGTGACAACGGCGTCACCCCGGACCGTCCAGTTTGCGTTAACTGGATCGGGGCGGAATTTGTCATTACTGGGACTGGCTACTGACTACGCTACACAACAATGTACGCCCATTAAGTCGAGGAACGGAGAGCCTATTTGAGGCGGATGCGTGTGTTGTGTTTTGCTCAGGATGACGGCACCATTTGGGTTACTGGTACCGTCGGTTATGTTTTTTTTATGCCAGCCAAAAGTCTGGTCCATTTTTGGTTCGATTCACCGGCTCCTTTGAAGGTTTTTCGGGGATATTGTGAGTCCAACATAATTTTTACAATAATAGTTAACCTAAGCCTAAGTTAAGCCTAAATCAAAGCCAAGAAAAGCCAAGTCAATCGTCTTCAACTATCCCGAATTGGCCAGATAAGAAAAATGACACAAGAAATCTGCCGATTGTAAATAGGAGCCAGCCGTAAAGAGGAGCTGGGTGGAACCTATTGTCCTGGAAGTTAGACAGAGAGAGAGAGCGAGAGAGAGAGAGAGAGCGAGAGAGAGCGGGGGTCGAGCTCCGCAATCCAACTGCTCCTCCTCATCCTCCTGCTCCTCTTCGACCTCGTCCTCCTATTGTGGCTAAAACCGGGGCGTTTCATTCAGCCCCAAAATCAATGCGCCACCGCTGGCGCGCGGCGGGCTATCACTCTCGCCAAATCCGAATCACCCCCAGGGCTGCCCGGAAAAAATTCACTTTCCTTGCTGGTGGCTCGCCGGGGCAAAAAATAGGCTGCCAGAATATTCACGCGGGCTATCAGTGAGCTTGAGACATTTTGAGCCCGCGGTCTGGCTATTGGATTCCAGGAGTCCGCGCAGCTACTACTGACGTAGGCTACGCTAGAAAAACCCTCGTATTCTTGCCTTCTGTACTCCGAAAAGCTACTACGAACGCCGATTCCGAGAAGCTACTTTGGACTGCAAACTCTTGCCGTTTTTCGAGCGGTTTCTTGTGACCCTATAACTACGACTACAAACGTCAACTATTTACGTCCTTTTAAAATTAATACTATAACTACGAATTTCTCTCCTAAAAACCCGCGACCTTACTACTGACGGCAGCGCACCGGCCTAAATTCTGCCCCACCTACCGTAGACAGTCAGAATGGATCACCCAAGCCCAGAAGCCGACGTCGAACACCATAAAAAGCCGATTCGCCAGCAGCCATGCCGAGCGTTGTTACGGTAGGAATTTTTTGGTGCTTTTCCCTGGCGAACACGCAAAATATCGTCAAAAAGTGTATTATAGCGTTGTGTTGCACGCGTATCGTGGCGTAGTGCTGCGCCATGTTGAGCGGTGTTACGTAGCATTTGGTAGTTTAGCGTATCGTTGCGTCGCGCTACGCATCATTGAGCACTGCATCGTAGAGTTACGTATTGTTGCGTAACGTAGCGTAACGTAGCGTAGCGTAGCGTTACGTATCATTTCGTAGCGCTAAGTTGAGTTACATAACGTTACCTATTGGCTGCTACAATAGAAAAATTCTAGTGTTCCTAGAGGTTTTATTTTATCGAAAATTCCGCATTTTAGCGTCTCGAGGCGAAGAGAGCGTTCAAGCATTGTTTTTCCCTCGAAACAAGCTTTAAAATCGTCATTGCGGCGTAGTGTTGCGTATCGAAGCGTCCCAAAACGTAGCCGACCTAAAACTCGCTCAACTTGCCCTTTCCGGACCCGTTTCCCAAGTCCTTTTCCGCTACTTCCCCTCGAGACTCCTCTTTTTGAAGGGTAGCTTCTGTGCCCCACTTCATTCCGCTACCATCCGCGCTACATCCGCTAATCGGCCAGGGGGTAACTGGTTCTCTCCAACTGTCTCTCGCTCCACTCCATCTTGGAGGGCCGTTCGGAGTAGCCAAACGTAGTGCTGCTCACTTTTCAGCCGTTAACGACCTCGCCGAGGTTACAGCTTTTATTGCCACTCGGTGGAGTGTGTTTTTAGAGGCCGCGGAAAGGCTTGGGCCTTTGGCTTGGGCTTAGGCTTAGGCTGCAGCGAAGCATGGGCATATGTTTAGGCTTAGGCTTAGGCTTAGAGTTAAGGTGGATTAGGCTGATCCTTTGCTTAGGCTTAGGCTCGATTACGCTAGTAAATTCAATCATTTGATCCTTTGCTTTTCCGCAATCGGTTGCCATCGACGATAAGTTCCGCGGGGCGTCGTTGGGGCACGATTTAGGGCAGCAAACAAGCCACTACCCCCCACCCCGTTTGGAGGAGTGCAGCGGAATTTATGAGCCGACTGATAGTAGGATGACATTTGGGGAAGAATTCCGAAAGGCAAAAAATTACGGGCGAGAAAATGTGGAAAATGGGCTTAATTAATTGGCTTAGGCTTAAGCTGTGATTCAGGCTTAGGCTTATTGTTAGGCTTTTGCTTAGGCTTAGGCTCGGGTTTAGGCTTAGGCTTGGGATTAGGTTAAACTTAGGTTAGGTTAGGCTAGGCGTGGGCTTAAGCTTAGGTTTAGGCTTGGGCATAGGCTTAGGTTTAGGCTTAGGCTTAGGCTTTGGATTAGGCTTAGGCGGCATAGGCTCCAAATATGCCGTTCCCGACCCCGATCTCCGATTCTCGATCATCTCTGTCGATTGGCAACATCAAAATACATGATTTCCAGTTGAAATCCCTTGCCCAGACGTTCCATAATTTAGGCGGACATGTGGGCATGATCAAAGGGGGGATCTGCCCCCCCCCCCCCCGCTAATATTCCCGTGGGTCGTTTTGTTCTTTGTGATATGGGATCCAGTCTGGCTTTTCCCCCTCTCTTCCATTCCCTTCTACCGGACCCATTCCCCCATCCACTACAATTACGGGGCAGGCATACGATGCCATCGCCCCGTTTAAAGGCCTGCCCCGTAGTCCCCGAGAGGGTAGCTCGGATCTACCTCGGAATAGTACGGCACAATCCGCGGGGACGGCTACACAGCGCTCCGTTTGTACAATTTCATACCGTACTGAACCTGGCCGAAATTCTACAACTTATTCCTGGCTGTCTAATACTTCTGAAAGCACTTGGAAGCCGAGCTAAGCATTTATCCGGATTCCAGGCGTTTTGCCAGGCCCTTTTTGGAGGCCTATTCGAGCCCCCAAGCCCTTTACGCATTTTAAAGGCCCCTGGAAACTCGACCTACGCAAGCGACTGTATTCTAGATTTTCCTAATACCATTAAACTATTTTAAAGGAAGCTGGAAGCCAAGCCAATTTATCTGCTTCCTGGGATCTTTCCAAGCCTAAAAATCAATATTTCAAGGCCATAGAAGCCATTCTGAAGCTACCAAGCTGCTCAAAACGCAAAAAGCACAGCCACCTACTTGGCAGCCTTCCAAGTCTGCCTTGAAGGCCCCTTTAAAGTCCTCAATTCTGGCACACCCAGAAGCAGAGCAGGCGAACTTCACAAGACATTACAACCAGAGTTTATCAATATTCCGATATTTTTCTAACAACGACTACGAAGGAGTCCTATCGACAAGACGCTAAAATGCACCGTATCATCATCAGAATCGATCCGGACGATCTGAAATCAGAAGAGAATCGACTACCCCCGAAATTTGCATACGAGTGCCCGGAGTATGCTTCGAGTTTTGATGCCGAGTCGCTGCCGAAAAAGGAGGGGTTGGGATCGATGGAAAGGTAGAGAGAGAGGGAGAGAGAGAGAGAGCGATCAAGAGAGCGAGAGAGAGAGACAGAGTGAGAGAGAGAAAGAGAGAGAGTCTTCAAATGCCTGAGTTTTTCCTGACCTCACTGTCCCTTTAAAATCACGGAACCCCGTGAGTGTTTACCCTCAAGGTCCGATTTTCAGATTTTGGACCCTTACTTCTAGGAAAATCTGCATTTGAGAGTTTTTTGGAATTTTTCCTGTAGCCAAGTGGTATGGTTTTTGCCTCTCACTCAAACGACCCGGGTTCAATCCCCTGCGGCGCCATAATAATTCACATACAACCTTATCCTCTTTTTCAGCATCCCCCGCAGCATCGTCAAGAGCATAGAGCACGAGTGGTGCCGATGCATGGGGGCCTATCCAAAACGGTGAGGGCCAAGCGAATATTAAATTCTGAGAGCGGTGGTATCTCAAAAATCACATTTAAAGAATTACTGTAGAAGTCAAAGAAAGATAAACCATCTAGATGCCAATTCGGCGAGACGCCCGCCGAGGTTTTGGCCGACGTGCTGAAATGGACGGCATTCTGTGCCGTGCTCATCGTCATCGTGCTCATCGTGCATTTGGAGTACACTTCTACGAAGAATGAGGCAGAGAACTTGGGGTAAGCGAGAGAGGGAGAGAGAGAGAGAGAGAGAGAGATATCTATCCCGAACCGGAATTTCAGCCGCCTCTACAACCACCAAATGGGCATCTACGAAAATGGGTCCCTGGAAGAACAAATTGACGAGTTTTCCGCCTATGATCCAGCCTCTTCAATAGCTGGGTAACTCCGAAAAACCTCGACCGACTACGCTACGCTCCTCTAGACACCCACTGGATACGATATATCACAAAGTGTATCGACCGAATGGGATGTACGTGGATCTGGAGACGAGGCCGCTTCTGACGCTCAAGCATTTCCAGCATAGGAGCTGTGATGTGGTGAGTGGCTTAGGTTTAGGCTTTGGCTTTGGCTTAGGCTTCGGCTTCGGCTTAGGCTTAGGCTTTGGCTTAGGCTTAGGTTAGGCTAGGCGTGGGTTATGCTTAGGTTTAGGCTTAGCCTTAGGTTGGCTTAGGCTTATTCCTGGTCTCATTTAGGCTTTCCTCGAGTACGCCGACAAATACGCGGGCTATCGCGGCCCAATCGGGGCCCAATTGCCCGCACTAGACCCAAATGGCCCATTTTTAATGGGCGGACTCGCAAAGCTGAAGGAAGATCGGGTTACGGTAAATTCTTCACTTTCTAAGGGAGCACTAAAAACGCCTAGGTGGTCAACAAATGGTCTCCCACCCAGTTCGTCAACTACACGGGGCTCTACGATTTTTCGGGGCCCGAGAAAAGCCACCCGGAAGTGTGGCAGCAGAGCCATTGGTCGTATGCTTCAGGTAAAATTGATATTTTGCTTTTTTAGCTATTTACTCAAGTTTATATTGGACTGAAATTTTAAGGGTTTTACGATAGCCAGAATATGTTGGGGAGCACCTTCAAAAAAAAAGAATTTCCCTAGTTGTTATGTTTTTCGCTCAAAAAATAATTTATTATTCGTGTTCTCCAGGCCGAGACGAGCATTTTGGTATACTTTATAGACTTATAGCACAAAGCCGAATGGAAATACAAGGCGTTCTTCTTTCCAGCCTGCCCCAAAACAGCCCCCTCTGTGCGCTCTCTGCATGTTTCCTGCCCCATTCCCACTAGCCCCCCATCTGGCCCACCCCTTCCCCGTATCTCCCCTCCCCCATCCCCTCATAAACTTACCTGGCTGGGGGGTTCCCGTGATCAGGAAGACGGGACCCCTATGGCGAGGCTTGGCCATTGCACTTTCGGCCGGGCTGACCTGTAAGGCAGCTCCGAGTTGGGGTTCGCCTACAGCTAAATTTTTGCGTGGGGGCTGCGTTCGCGCGGCCCTGACTTTGGGATAAAAAGCTATGCAGTAAAGCGCTGCGTAACCAACGAACGGCATCTTGCAAACTTCTTTTATATCGTCAAACCTTGCTGTAGATCCTCGAAGTCTCTAAGCTTTGCTCAAATTGCTGTTTATTTGAATTTTCAAGGGAAGAAAATGCAATTCGCTGTGTTTTACAAAAATTGGAAAAGCACATCGGAAAACCGGAATGAAACCTTTTAAATTAATAAAATTCGAATGTCAAAGCCGAGTAGCTAGCTCAATAGGAATTGGTATCATAATGTCGAAATTCATAATGTCGAAACTCATAATGTCGAAATGTCATAATGTCGAAATTCAGAATGTCGAAATTTACATAGGCTAATATTACCGGTGAAACCGCCAAATCCTAGCCAAAAAAATGTTTTCCACATTCTATTTTTTAACTTATTTCACGACAACATTTTTTTGCCTAGAATTCGGGGACTTTACCGGGAATTTTAGCTTATCTAAATTTCGACATTATAACATTTCGACATTATGAAATTTCGACATTATGAAATTTCGACATTATGAAATTTCGACATTATGAGTTTCGACATTATGAATTTCGACATTTTGAAAATAAGCCGCTCAATAGGCCTCAGTTAGCTTGATTTTAGTCGCCCTCCATCTCGCTCTCCAAGCCCACCCGATCCAGGGCCAACGTGGCGTCATCTTTGGCTCGGACGGCCAGAGCCCGTGGGTTGAGAATTTTGCGATGAAGGTGAGCTTTTATGGTCGGTATAACGCTAGATCATTCTGGACGCTATCAAATGAATGTAACTGTTACCATTCTAGCATGGCGCTGAACGCCTCCTGATCATCGAGCAACAGCGGGTGATCAGCGACGCTCCTCGTCTCCTTCAATATGTCACCCCGCTAGCCGTGGCGCAGAATTATGACAGGTGGGCGATAAATTTCAGATATAGGTTTACCTCATTTGCCTAAATTTCAGTCACGTCGGCCGCTACGACTTTGTGATCAGCTTCGCGCAGCTCGGGCCCCTGGGGCTGGGCGGTGGAGGCGAGATCCAGGAGCCGTATGCTGATATTAGCGCCATTTTCCGGGTGGGCTGGCCGGGGGCTTTAATAATAATTTTTTAAGCTTTCTAGAATAGTTTTTCATTTCAAACTTAATTCTAACAATCGTTTCAGCTGGCGTGCCTTCTGAAAAAGGAAGGCACGATGTATTTGGGCGAGGCGATGACGCGGGATGGCGTAAACTACAATACGAGGCGAATTTATGGCCGGATCAGGTTGCCACTGCTCTTGGCCGGTAAGAATTTGCGTTTTCGAGAAAAATTCTGATAAAATCCCGTTTTGCGATCATAAAATCGACAAAAAAAGCGAATTTCGACAAAAAAATTTCAATTTTTTTACAAACATACGAAGTCCTTATTTTCTAAGTAGTTTATCACCTCGAATATACCTAAATTTTATCGAAAAAACTATGCAAACATCAACAACACCTTTCCAGGCTTCGAGATTCGCACCGGTTTCCTCAACAACCAGGCGACGCCGATAATCCTGGACCCAAATTGGCTCGACACCGAGCACACGATCACCTACGTGCCCGTGTTGGTGCTGCAGAAAAAGTGGTAGCGCTGTAGATTGCTTTATTTATACTTTTGTACAGTTTGTGTACAAATAGTCTTTCTATAATACGTCTTACGCCTTAATTTACACTTTTTTTAAACCTTTGAAATACGTTAAAATTGTTGTTTTTATTGTCTTTCTTTTCCGTTACTTATTATTTTAGCTTCAAACTCGTCAATCTCTTAATAATATTGAATTAATTAATTTTACCTTAAGCCTTAGGATCCAAATTTCACATTGAGCTAGTACAGGGTGTCCCAAAAAAAAAGACCCCCCCAAAAATTTGAGCCAGAGGGCACCTACGGAGCTGAAAATTTGCACAGAGGTAGTGAAGCCAATTTCCCATGCATATGGGAAGTTTCAGCCATTTCGGCCGACGGGTTTTAAAGTTATAGCGAAAATACTTTTCATTTTTAATTTAATATGGGGATTTTTGCAATTTGCATCAAAAATATGCGTTAGTCTTGCATTTACGAGCCGATTTTGCATAAATTTTGCCAAAAAATGCCATTCTCTTGCTGGAGCATGGCGCGGACGTTTGCGTATGAAGAGTAAAAAGAGTGTGAAAACAACTGTTTTATCGATCCAAACCACGCCTTATTGTGCATTTTGGCAATCTGCTTCGCGCTAGCCCCGAGACAGAGTTCGATGAGCTTCTAAGTGGTGCTTAAGTTTAGATTTGGGCTTGGGTTTAAGTCAGTCCAAAGTCTAAGCGAAGTTCAGGCGCTGAACGATAGTTTTAACCAATATATCTTGTACTCAGCGGTCTTGCTGATCGTTTTCACGCTGCATCGGCAATCGTTTTCCAAAAGCTCCAGCAAGAAAATGGCATTTTTTGGCAAAATTTATGCAAAATCGGCTCGGAAATTCAAGAATAACGCATATTTTTGATGCAAATTGCAAAGATCCCCATATTAAATTAAAAATGAAAAGTATTTTCGCTATAACTTTAAAACCCGTCGGCCGAAATGGCTGAAACTTCCCATATGCATGGGAAATTGGCTTCGCTACCTCTGTGCAAATTTTCAGCTCCGTAGGTGCCCTCTGGCTCAAATTTTTGGGGGGGTCTTTTTTTTTGGGACACCCTGTATTTCAACTGTCTTTCACTCTTTTCCTTCCTCGTCCAACCTCCTCGTGTGTACTATGGGTGCCCGTATCTCCCGCCTCGACAAGAAAAATATATTTATGTCAAATACCATCTGCTCTATCAATATTTGCCTATTAAACCTTCCTGCCGGCCGCCTCGTCGATGCAGTCGAACAGCTTCTTCTCGAGGCGCCGGAACGTGAAGCAATGATTTCCCGAGCCGGCCTTCAGCCCGTTGCAAACATAGGCGTATACCTAGGAAAAAATCCGGTTTTTGTAAAAGAAATACATAGAAGTTTCGTAGCAGATATTGAATCGTATTTTAACAAAATTTTATTCTAATCTATTATTTTTCAAGTGGAAAAATGAGATAAACACTTTAAAAATCCGTAATTTTGGTCCAAAATCGGATTCTTGGTCGAAATTCAGCGCAATTTCTAATGTTTTTACGAGGCATATTAAAAACATTTTTGAAATACTTCCGCTAGTATATCCGATAAATCCGATAAGAAAACAAAAAAGTTAACTTTCCCGCCTCCCTCATCCCCCCCCCCGCTAAAGCACCAGAACCAAAAAAACGTACCAAACCATGCTGTGCGTCTATCCGTACATTTTGTCCACCGACGCCCGAGTGCCCAAATTGCCAATTTCCCTGAAAAATAGAGTTAAAATTCGGTACTAAAATACAGGATACCTTTGGCCCTCGCCAATACATCCAGCCGTAGCCCTTGTTCAGCACCTCGCCCAGCGTCTCGTCCAACCGGTCCGGGTTGCTGGGCGTTTTGAAGCGCTAAAAAAGCTTTAGTTCGTTTGTTGGGGCTCACTTCGAAAGTTCACGCTCAAATTTGGGGGAAAAGGCTTACCTCAAAGAGCTGAGGCCCGATCAAGTGGCCTTCCAGAAACACTTGATGAACCTAGAAACCGGCTTTCGCTTTTTGAATTGTCGTAAAGTGTTAGAAAACGTATTTTCTCGATCTATTTCTATGATCTTTTACTATTTTGAACACACCTTGGCTAAACCCCTCGCCGTCGCCACCCCGTTGACGGCCGGCTGGCCGAGCAACCGCAAATCCGGGTTGTTGAACATGGTAAAATCCTGAAAAGGAGAATCTGGCTTTATGAGCCTTTACATAATTGAATTTAGCTATTTTTCAGTCCCCACCTTTCCAAAAAGTTCCATATTCCGGAGGCCGTTCATGAAAAAGCTGCCCGGTCGCATGCACGAGATCCCGTTGCGCGCGACGCTCATGTCGAAGCCGCATTCCCTATCATTTCGATGTTATTGTTTTTACTATTCTTAATCGTAGATACTTAATAATACAGCCAAAATAAAAAATACAAAAATTTTAAAATCTCAAAAAGTAGGTTTTTTACATAGTTTTCCACTTGAAATCTAGTTAAATTTTATGAAAAAGGCTATTAATACATAGGTTATGAAGCTATCAGGCTGCTCTGGGCTTTAGGGATAGATTCCCCCCCGATAATCGCAAAGCACCATTTTGATTAGCGCTCTACTCACCTGATCATCGATGGCGTTGTGAATTGCTTGAGGCGAGCGATGCGATGTTCTTCGGCCTGCGTCCCGCCGATATACATGTCAATGTCTAAATTTTAGGCGTTTCAAATTGATTTTTTCTCATTTTTCGTCTAAAAAATTTCGTTTTCATCCCTTAACCTTGTAAAATTGGAAATCGTAAATATTCCTTTAGCTAATAAAAGCTATGCTTACGATGTCGATCCCGAATCTCTTGGTCGTAGAACTGCTGGACGCTCCTTTGCTTCCGGTCGATCCTCCGGAACAGCCCATCGACCAGCCAGCCGTAGGTGAACGGCTGATAAGCCGTTTTACTAAAATTTACCTTAGAAAATTATGTCCAGCGTTGAAATTTCGAATTCTCAAGACTTCCAAGCCACCTTCAAAAATTTACCTGCCGGGCGGGAACCTTGTGGCCTCTTCCTCTAGAATTATGTCAAGCCTCACTGGGTCAAGCAGCGTCTCCAGGTCCAAAGTTTTTGCTAGGCATGGCACGCCGCTCTGAAAAAGACAAAAATAAAATTAACAACTTTAAAAAGCGCAAAAATCTCAATATTTTTGACTTTTAGCTCACAAATGTATGAAAAACAAAGTGACCAAGACAACCAAGACAAATTGTCAAATTAGCAAAATAGATATATTCTTATACTTTTCTAGCCATCAAAACTACAAATTACATCTGTTATTAAGACGCATTGGCGGAAGAAACAAAAATTAGTTTTCCCCGTTAGCAGTTTCGTGCCCGCAAAATTCGTCCTACCTGATGTGCCATAATCTGTGCAATGGTCGTGTCTTCTTTCCCCTTTTGCGCGTACGCTGGCCAGTATCTGGAGACGGCATCTTCATAGGCACAAGCGCCGCTCTCCACCAGCATCGAAAAGCATATCGCGGCGATACTCTAAAAATTACAAAATCCGCTACAAAATACGCCCGTAATTCACCTACCTTTGATGTGCTGAAGACGGTGGTGAGCGTATCCTGATTCCACCTTCGCCCGTACTTCTTCTCCGCATACCCGCCCCAGATATCAACTACCAACTCCCCGTCTCTATAAACAACTCCCCGATTTTGACCCTTGCCAATGCGACAAACTTGTACACTGCAAACGCGGCCCCCTCGGCTTCCCAGCCCTCGCTGAAATTCTTCTTGAAGCTGTCCAGGATCCCCGTGAAGCCATCCTTGCAAAACCCGTCCACGGGGACCGTTTTGGTTTTCTGAAGTAAATTCTATTTTTTGAATGGATTTATTGGGCGTAAACCAAAAATTTCCGGTTTTTCACACTTTTTGTTGAAAGTTTTTCCCTGCAGTTGTTATATAGTTACACTTTACGGCTCCACTCCCATTGGGACTCTGAAAAACCCGAAACCCGCAAAAGAGAAACAAACTTTTCCCATAGTCAAATAACGGCTAGCGTTTCAAGATGCTGTATTGGCGGCCTGTCAAGCGAGCCAGTCTAGGGCGGAAACATGGATATGCGGCTGGCGGCTGGTGGACCGGAGAGGAGGAGGAGGGAGACATGATTCCGGGGATTCCGCGCGCGGGGAGATGAGATGGGCGTCAAGGTCGGGAGATCCCTCGAGGCCGCCCTACACTCCAGCTCTCGCGTGGGGGTACAGTTCAGGGCGCCCGGCAACAAACAATCTTTCGGTCGGCTCTCTCACGTTCGGCTTGGCGATCCCCCGGCGCGCAACGCACTAATTCTACACTTATCAAGGTGGCGGAACGGTTCCTGGTCAGTCGGCACCGTGTTCCTGTTCGGGTGCATCGCGCACCCAGAGTGACATCGCTCCTCCTAAATTTGGAATGCAAGCTATGAGAGCTTGGACTTCGGCAGTAGAATGAAAACAGCCGCTTTCCGGTGTGAAAAGTTTAAGCCACACGCAGCCCTGTAGTTGAACCCTTAGTAAGCCGTATATAACGCAGAACGGTCACCTGAATCTTTATTTTCTTTTCAAAAACATCTATGCTAGTCGAATAATCATCCAAACAAAGGAAAATTCACAATTTCGGTCGTGGCCGCGTCCCGGATTTTCCCAGTTCTGGATTGTCGAGGAGCTTGTTGAACCGCATGATCAGGTCTGAGGGATGCATGTTCTCGGTTTCAAACCGCAACTTCTTGCCATCAGCTAAAAACAATATTGTGATATAATTTTGACACAGTTACCTAATGTTGCTACGAAATGGGGCGGAACCCGATCGTTACGAATGTCCGCTTTTATCCTGACTGCTGGGTTCGTCAACTTTACTTTCGGGGCTGAGATGGCCTCCCAAAATTTCCTAAATCAATGGTAAGTCTCAAAAGAAGGGCTTCACCTCAGTGCGCTCGTATCAGGATGGCAGGGGTCGAAGGCTATTTCCACCGATTTAACCTGAACATCGCTACAAAAAGTACAACGGAAGCCTTACTTTCTTCAAATCCAAGCCACGACATGCCAACGCGAAACGTTCTGAGGGGTTCCATCTGACACCTTGCCGAATTTGTTGCCACATATAGCACATTTCCTAAACTCGATTCCTAGATAACACATTGCAATGATTCGCCGTCGGTATCGAATGTCAACAGACAGCTCCGAGAGGTAATTCGCCAACAGTATGATACGAAGCTTTATACATCTAACAAAAGAAAGTAACAACGTGATATCAAAAGGTCTCAATTCTTCCATGCGGCGATGAGTTCAGAGATGTGATCCAGATTTTTGTTCATCTCTTCTATCGACTCTGACTAAAAAGAGTTATGGAGAATGGATCACTCCATACCTTCAAAGCGTGAATTCTTTCTTCCGGATAAGATTCTTGTGCCTCCTGTAGCAAACTACCGAAAATCTCGCATTCAATGTTTTCCCTGATCTAAAAACGCTACATCAAAAAGGTTGTAAGCCAATCCCACTTTGCGGTCTGGGTATCCTCTTGCGGCTAAACGGTCGTATAGAAGGGTGTTGTCGCATCGGAGAACAATGACGAAATCGAACCATCTACAGAGAAAAATTTAGGCGTTGGCCGGCACCTGCGATCACGCACCTTTCCGGAAAGAAATCACAGCCGTGGTACTCAACAACGGTCCCACCAGATTCGCTGTCAAGCCGTCCCTAGATTCAGGTGAGGTAGGAACGAAACCAAACCTCTATATGATCAAGCAATTTTTCTTCATCCAACACATGGCTTTGATATTCTTCGTCATATTCGGAGTATAGGTGATGATTTTTAACCTCATCGCCAACCTAGAAGAACAAGTTAGATTTCCAAAACTGGCTTACGCTGATCAAATCGAAACCTAATCTCTCGGCAAGTTGGGAGGCCAATGTCGTTTTGCCGGTCCCTGGTGAGCCCGTAATCAAGACGTTGGGGCGTCTTCTTGTTTCTGGTGTTGCCATTCTGAAAAATAATTTTTAGAACCCGCGCACAGGGCCGTAACATACCCGAAATTTCGGGGAGAGGGGGTCGCACACTTCGAAAAGGATTCCAGCAGAATTGGTTTCGATAAAGCTTGCCTGGTTTTCAAAACCACCATAAAATGCATCTCAAGTATAAAATTCTTTATCTACAAGCGTATAAAATTCAGCATAGAGAGATCAACGAGGAAACGACACAAATGACTAAATCTGTTAAATATCACAATCGCTGCCGACAACCCGTTTGTTCTTTTCTATTGCTTTCCGGAAAGGGCGCCGCTGCGCTTCGCTTCCTCCGCACGGCGAGCGGCCTGGCGGGCCAAAAAATCGGTCTCTTCCTTCTTCACCTGTTCCAGCAATTGCTTGATCGTCACTCCTTCATAGGCGGCGGCAATCGAGCTCTCCACCTAAAAATAACAAACGATAAAGCCTATAAACCAGATATTCACCTGGCTAGATTCGATGGCCGGGGACAGCTTCGCAGCGGCGGCGTTGTCGAGCTGATACTTTTGGGCAACGCGGTTCAACTCATCCTAAAAAAACAGTGGTATCTAGACCCATCAGCGAACCTGAAGCGACTTTTTGACGGCCGGGTCTTTTGTAGAGAGCTCCGCACCAATCTTGCCAAATTCTTTGATCTGGAAATACCCAATTGGATTTATCATACTAACCGATATACCTTGTTCACGAAAGCCTCCCGCACAAGGTCGCTGCGAAGAGCAGCCGAGGTTTGGAGAGAGCGGCGGAAGAACATCTGAGCAATGGAGAGCGTAAAGTTAAGATGGAGCCGAAAAAGGACAATAATTAGAATGGCTTTCAACCACACAAATGCATAACGCCACTGAAATAAATATTTATTCCGAATGCCCCGAATAAATGGAAATCAGGCAGATTTCTTTGCGGCGGTCAGATTCTGGATGGCGATCAGGGTCTCGTTCACAATGGTCTGGGTACTTCGCAAGCTTTCGACTGATAGAAGGCGCAGGCAGCGTGCAACTAAAAAAATATGCATTTGATACTAGGAAATACCATGATCCAACACAGGGTCCTTGAGGTCTGTGATGCCCAGGGGAAAAGCCTTGATGTCAAGGAGTTGCTGAAAACAAGTTCTTGCGCTACTTGAAAGCCTCACATTATCTTCATTTCCTTCTTTCTTGCCAATACGTTCTCTGTTTTTCGTCGAGCAAGTCTGTTGCACAAATAAGCAGCAAGCCCGCAATGTCACTTCCTAAACCCAAATTTTTAACTTCAGGGGGTCCTAACCGGGTCCGGGTGTTCGGCAATCCCAAACAGCTTCGCCATCGATTCGATCCGGGATTTATAGTACTGCTCGGCGCCTAAATATACATATTCAAAATCCAAAGCAAAAGAACGGACAATTGATAGTGTTGTAGGGGTTCTGCGATGTTTCGGACGCCGCATTTTTAGCCAGCCGCTTATTTCTGACAATATCGGACGAAAACTCTTGGGCCTCAACTAAAAATAAAGTTAAAATAATTGTAAAGCCGTTACCTGTCTTGTCATAAAGATGATCAATAGAATGCGAGAGCAAAAAATCGCAAATGAACCGCCGAGACACGGCAGGTTGCTCGTCGTCTGACGTGCTGATGCCGTATTCCGATAAATACTAAACGCGCATTTGTACACAAATTGTGCATGCACCTCTGCAAGTTTTCGCTCAAATGCCTCCTTGTTCTTCTCGTCCATGAATGCGACGTGCCAGTCTTCAGGACGCTTCTTCAGAAACTGTTCGTCCAGATGACAGATGAGGGCAGCCAGTTCGCTGTCGTCTAAAACCGAAAAAGTTGCGAAACACAAATAGAAGTTACCATCGTAATCGAAATTAATTTTCGGGTAGCCGACAGCCTTGAGCCTCCTGGCTGACATTCTAAATTACAATATATTTGACGAAAATCCCATAAATATTTCCGCTCTATCAAACGGCCTCAAAAGACCACAAAACTTCGATAGTAATTTATCAAAAAACATCACAACAACGGGGGCTCGGTTACTTTAGACTTCTGCTCGAGCTTGGCGCGCTTCACCTCCAAGGTGTCGCATCGCTTTCGCTTCAGTAGAGGTAGATAATTTGTTTGCCATGGATGTGCCTGGGTGAATTCCAATAGGCCACGCTCCCTGATCGCGTCCGTGATCGGGCCCGGCTCGTTTGCGACGCTGTTCATCATATTTTCGATTGTCCGAGCTCTAGACAAACGGGATTGATCGGGAGGTCAGGCACAAACTTTGTCATCAACTCGGCCCATTGTCTCTGCAGGCTGCCCAAGTTGCGTTGCCGCACGGATTCGTCGTATTGCCACGCTAGCTGATCACGCTCGTATTGGCACTCAAAGAGGCATAGCGGAGCATCTGAGGCCATGGTGTATTGCGGTCGAGCTGGGCACTTTTCGATGTCGAGCAGGTCAGAAACCACCTAAACCAACCAAAATTCATCCAAAAATCTCCAGGTAAGACCTCTGGCCCTTCGTGGCCACAGCCGACCTCGTGTAGAACTGACACGATGAAGCGGATCATGTGCCACAAGAATCCACTCCCTTCTACGGTTAGCTCGAGCAAGCCCGAGTCGCTAAAGGAAATTTAGGGCCGCGTTTTGACCAGTCATACCCCAATTCGCAAAGTGACACCGCAAAGATCTCGCGAACATATGACTGGTTGAGACGGTCGGCATTTAGATCGATCTAAAAGTCTGATATCATGAAGATGGCGAAGCTTGTAGAACCTGACAATAGTTCCGGAAGTCGTGTGTCCCGACCAGCTTGCTACAGGCAACACGCATTTTCTAAAAACGACATGAGAACGATCTGCTATAGAACCTCAACATCCAGGTTGGCCTTTGGCATCGAATATTTGTAGGTGCGGCGTGTACACGAGTGCCGCGCATCGAATTCTGTCCTGGCCGGCGCCCAACTAGCGTTTTATTTTACAGGTAATACACCAGTTTATTACCTGAGCATTCTAATCGTCGGTGGCAGACACCCATTCAGCATTTTCAGATATTGGAGCTCATCGCGTGACTTGAACGCTTCCCGCACGTCGATTGGAACATCATCGGCCCAAGATACGCCCTGTCCAAACGGATCAGCCGATCTAAAGAAAGAATTGCTGTAGGCAAAAAAGTAAGACCTCACGATGCACGCAGCAATTTGGCGGAATGCAGAGACGCCCTTATCCGTGCGTCCACATCGAGTAAAACCACATCCTTCCCAGCTTTCGATCAATTTAGTCTTTAGCAAGGCGTTCATCAAATGCTGAAGTGCAATTGAGAGGATGGAATCTGAGATCATACATGTTCAACTGTATTCGTCGAGTTTTCCTGCTGCACGAGCCCATCATGGTGCCATCCCAAGTAACAAAATGCGAAGACGACCTTCCGGCGGGGATGTAGGCGAAAATCGAACGTCTTTGCTTTCTTGGCGGGCGTCCCGGTGTCGACGGATTCGCGTCCCAGCTTTCGCATCGTACCAAAAGGCTAGATAAAACCAAGACGTTAAAAAGAAATCCAAAAGATAAAACGCATTACGACGGAAAAGCCAGGCCGGCATGCACGCGCAAGGAACAAGTGTGCATTGGTTAGAATCGGAACTTCACCGCCACCGAACATCCCAGAGTTAAAAAGTTAAAAAAACCGGAGACGATGTCGAGCGTGTTATTCGAGCGGAAAACTCTAAAGAATGTATTTATGCAAATAAAATCGACAATGAATCAATGAAACTTTAGATATCAAGGCAATTGCGTACAGTGTTCGAGGAAAAATATTCATAGAGAAATGACGAGAGAAATACTGATAAAGAAATGGGGAATGTGAAATGTAACTTGGAGCACAGGAAGATCAGTTGAGCGGGTCGGTGAAAATGTTGAGCATCACTTGTGGCGGGGCGTCTTGATTTGGTGCGTAGAAATGTTCTCCTTCTGCGCGTCAAGGTCCAACTCCAGGACGGCCTCCACGAGCGAATTGTTGCTTTCGGCGGTCCGCACGAGCATGGCCTAAATTTCATTTTAGGAATCTAATTGTATCGCACCTTCTGCTCATCAACTCCACTGGAAAGCGCGGCGACCTCGTCTAGCATTTGGTAAAGGACTGCAGTCTAGAAATTCCATTAGCACTAACGATTAAAGTAATCCTTTCAATACCACATAATCCTCCAGTTCGCCTTCTTGTGCTTTCAGAGCTGCCTGGGCCTGTTTGATCTCGGTGTCAAGCCGGCTGGCTTCGGTCCTAGAAGAATTATGGTTTCAGAAAATGTTCTCACTTTTTGTCCACAAGCCGAACTCGTTCGAGTTGGAGATTCTCGATCTCCACCTCCAATCCTTTGCGCTCATTGTCCCATTGCTAAATCACCGGCATCCTCTACAGAATTCGTCAAAGAAACCTCTCGTTCCCGGGTTCGCTTACGCTCCTCCAATTGTGCCTCCTTTTTCTTGGTCTCGTTCTGGCGCTGCAGGCTTTTGAGGTCGACCCTAAAGCAAGAAGTCTCGCAATTGTTAAAGTAACGCTCACTTCTTGCTGTCAATGTCTTGCTTGCACTTTCCAGTCCTTGATCGGATCTGGCGCACCACGTCTTCGAGCTCCTTGCGTGCGTCGCGTAGCTGGAAATCGGACATGAATCAAAAGAATTTTGGCGTGCTTCATACCATCTTTGGGCAGTCTTGCGTGACGCGCTGGAACAAGGCCTGGGCACTTAGCGGCTCGTGGTGCTCCGATTGTACAGCAACACTGTGCCCATCAATGGCACGCTTCAGGTCGTGAACCTCGCGAACCCATTCGTCGAACATTTGGTTGTACTAGGAATCAATCATCGTCGAAATTCCGTCATCAAACCTTGAACAGTTCGTTTTTCAAGAGCGGCCCTTCTTTCCATTTGTTCTTTCCAACATCGTCGAGTTCCGCACGAAGGCTGCTAATTTGACTGCGAAACTAAAATGGACCTGTTAATAGGAAAACTTTAACTCACCGAAGCGATTTCACCCTTGATGGCGCGGGCTTGCTCCGGAGTAATCTTGTGCATAGCTGTCTGACGCTGGATGGTCATTTGTTTTTCTTCGATTTGCGTCAGCAGCTGCTGTTGGAGCTCTTCGCGATTTTTGTTCCCGCTTTTCAGGGCGGCCTACAAGTCAATTTTTCAAAAATACAAGGAACGCCGCTTACCACTTGCTCCAGCACGCGCCGGTTCTCCAGCTCCAGCTCGCCGACAAATTGCCGCTGAACGCGCAGATCGCCTTGTAGCGCGTGCAGCTCACATTTCAGTTGGCCCTCCCTGTTTCGGGCTTTCTAAAACTAAAAAAATCAGTAATTGTGAATACCCCGCCTCCTCCATCAGCGTATCATACTCGGTCTTCGCCAACTCCAGTCTCTCCTTGGCCTCTTCGATGTTTGGGTGCTCGCCAGCAGACCTCAGTTGTGCGCGCAACTGAGCCACTTTCCTAAAAGCTATTTTAGCAGCAGAGAATATAAGGGCTACCCCTCGTAAAATGCCGGGTCCATCTTCGCGCCCGCTTCGCTCTTGAAAACGTTTTGCTTCAGCATATATTTCAACTAAAAAAAATTTAGTGTCGAATCCAGGTGTTACCGTGGCTTTGGTTGAATCTTCGTGGCCTTTGGAGCCGAGCAAAACGTCGGAAGGCTGGATGCTCAACGTAATCTGAAAACGATTCACAGACGCGCTGAACCATTAACCTGCACCAAATCAACCAGCCAGCAAAGCGCACCAAGAACGTGCGGGATCGAGTGGGACGCGCCCACGGTCTGCAACGTCGAGCTTTTCAGTGGAAACGGATATCCGAGCTTTGCGAAGACGCGGGGAATCTAAAAGTAAGAAATACGGAGTGAAAGACAAACACTCACCTCTTCCTCCATCCTGCCTTTGACTTTGAACGTGGGGCTAAGGTGCTGGTAGATGTTCTCGAACATCAACACAAATTCGCGAGCCCCCGGGCTGCGGACGGTCTTCTCCGAGATCTCGGCGCCGCAATTCTCGCGCAGGAAGTTGTGAAGCTTCCTCACCATCTCGGCGCGATACATTCCGTCGCTGAGCGGGCGCGGATCCTAAAACTAATAAAAAGGAGCCGAATGAAAAAAACCTTTAGCACAGATGAGCCCTTGAAAAAAGACGATCGTCTCGCGCTCTGCACACCGAAAGCGGCTCCAGGCAGCACGCTGTTCCGAGCACTAGAGAAGGTTTAGGGAGGGGTGAAAAACCTACGGTGTGGCTGCCACTTGGCGTTGCGCGCTCGGGGCGGGCATCGTTTGGCGGCGATTCATGGTAGGGGTGGCGGCTGAGGGACGCATCCTAAACAATTGTAAAGTGATGATGATAGTGACATCTCTCAAAATGGTCTCAAAATATATTTTTTTCGACTTGAATCGATGCATCTCGCCGAATTAGGGCGTTGTGAGTTGAAAAACGATTGGGAAACGCTTTTGGACCAAGTTCAAGGCATTGTAAATAAAAATCAAAATTGGCGAGAATCATCGCCGTCTTGCCGGGTTTTCGATATCGATAGACACCCAATATCAGGAAAAACCTCTCGAGCCTAAAACCATCAAAAAAATCTGTTGGATCGCGAAACCATCAGGAAAAATCAAGCAAAGCAAATATTCACAATCATTTATTCTGCAGTAAAAATCAATAACAATAAAAGACATTTCCGAAAAATCAGTTCTGACGATGAAAAACAAAGGCGGGTGGTTGGTCAGCCGGCATTTATTTAAAGCACCCCGTCGGCGGTGATCTTCTCGTCCTGCAGCTCCCGGCTGACGATCTTGATATGCATGGAATTGATGGCATGGTCGGAGCCCAGCTAAAAGACATATTGATGCGAAAGCCATGGCAATTTACCTCGACGTTGCCATGATTTGCCATAATCAACGAGGCCAGGAACACGCGGGGAATCTGTAGAACAGGGTTGGGAAAAAGGCAACAAGACACCTCGTATTTTTCTAGTCCGGAACAAAGATCCTGCAACTCGAGCGTATCCCCAATTGACTCGAAACGGTCGAGCGCTTGATGCGAATAGGTTGGCCCATCATATTCTTTTCGTTCGAATTCCTGGAAGGAAAATTTTTAAGTAGCCAGCATGATCATACCGCGTCTAGTTTGCTGATGATATGGTCCTCCCATTCTTGCATCTCGCGGTCCCGCTGGGTGCGATCTTGGGGCTTGAGTGCACTGAAAAAAAGCCATCCTAAGACTAGTACACGCTACGCAAGTATCACATTAGTATATGCTTTATTTTTATAGAGGCCAGGCTGAACAAGGAAGTTATCCCCCGGCCACGAACAAGACGCGAAAAGTAACATAAGAAAATTGAAGGGAAACCAACTGTTCCAGATAGGCGGTGAGTCGCTGTTTCGGATCATGGTACGCGGACGCGGCTTCCATGCCCTGGTTGTGCAGGGCCGCCTCTTGGAGCAGATCACACTCCATGTCTTCGTCAGCTACAATCCAAATTTTAACAAATCTAACCAAAATCTCTACCAAGATCCGTGAAACGAGTGACGGGGGCTGGTTTGTCGCCGAGCGGCTGCGGGTCTTCACTGGGTCTTGGGTCAGCTCCACCAGGCCAAGGGAAGGCGTCGTCCTCGTCATCCCAGTCTTGACCCGCGAAGTCATCCTCGTGATCCCACGGATTTTTCACCGGCGGCGTAACGTTCTCTGAAGCGCGATGTTTGAATAAATAGGATATATTTATTACCTTGCGCCTCCTCAGCTGGGTTCTTTTCGGGTACATGTTGTGGTGCACTGCGGAGACGGCGACGTTCGACCACTTTCACCGGCTGATCCCTAGCCTTCAAAAGGGTTCGGCAAACCCCCCAGATGTTCGTAGAAACATCCTCGACCTGGAAAAGATGCAAATGCAGGTAATCGTTACTGTACCCATTCATTTCTCTTCGGTTCGGTCGTCGATCCAGCCGACAATACCCAATTCAAGCTCCGGAATCGCTCAGCAAAGGGCATGGCCAAGTCTTTCTAAGCGAAGGATCAGGTAAAAAGCAATGAATCTCACCTGTGTCTGCTTCCGCCGCTCAGTTCGCACGTTGTAACAGCGCTTCGCGTCAGAGAGAACTTGCGGGGCCATTATGGACATTGAGCGGGAGGCTGCATTCTGCGTGTAGGGGTCCATCAGCTTCAGCTTCTCACGTGGCGCAGACAGCGCCTCCAAGCTCCACTAAAAGATTGAAACAATCTATTCGACTTCGGAATACGAACCGGATTCAGGTCTTTCAGTGGTGCAGAGCGAGGGCGCAACGATCGCCGCACGTCAACGTTCTGAAAAAGCCGTTGGTCTTTTCAAAATATCGCGGGAATTTTTCCATAGCGATCAATTTTTCTACGACTAATCGAAGCAGCGCCTTTACGCTGGTTTTTTTATAGCATCAACGTAAAACCTTTCAAATGTCACATTTCTCTAACTTTCTAAGCAGTTTTCCGCTCGAATTAGAGACGATATTGCAAAAGCACCATTAAATAATGTGCAACAAAACGCTACTACCTCCTTGGCCACCGGGACGTCGGGATCATCATCGAAGCCGTCGCCAAACGAATCTGCACCACCGTCCCCAAAGCAATAGTCAGGATCGGGGTTGGTGGAGGCAAGGCGGGCGAGGGAGAAGCGTTTCGATTCGCGCAGAGTCCGTGCGGCCTCCCTGGAGATCAGTGTAATTTTATTAAAATCACGCTTACCGTGCCACCTCAACATGGCTGGAGACCCGGCCGGGGTAGGTGTTTTGTCCAATGTTGGAGCCTTGCGAGCTGGTGCCTTGGCTAGCGCTTTGGCTGGCACCCTGGCTGATGCGCTGGGTAGTAGTCATCTGGGAAGATAGTTGCGTGCTGGCAGGGCGAGGACCGCACCGAGACAGGGCTAAAAAGAATGTTGAAAATAATATTGTAGCTTTGAGAGACTAAGATTCTGAAACAGTTAAGTTACAAAAGTGCTGAAAGATCACGGTTGCAAGCTCTATGGAAAGCGCCATACCAGAACACAAAATTAAGATTTCTTACTAAAACGATCCCGTTGTCAGCCAACGATAACGAATGATACCTTCCGTGAATTTGGTGTCGTTGAGAACTTCGGCTTGTGCGTGGAAGCGCAGCTTTCTCATACGATCCTGCTTGGCCAACACACTGTCAAAGTGGAATTTCCAGTAATCCGAACGGGGCCTGAGGTCGCGGTGGCAGAACCAGTTGGTTGCCATGAGATCCTTGCGGATGAAAACAAAATCCTAGAAGAGAGTAGAAATCGCGTAAAGTCAAAATACCGTCAGCATCAGCGACTTGTTGATCAGCGTATCACGGCTATCTTTGGCGGAACGTGTATCATCTCGAGCCGAAGTTGCATAAACTTTCACGCCACGCGCCTCGCAGTCGACCTCACTGCAACCAAGACAAGTCCCAGCGACCGGTGGGTGCAGGTGTTCTGCCTTGATCTCCTTCTCGTCCAACCATTCCTGAAAAAAAGTTTGCGCCGAAGGATACCACCAAACCTCTTCATTGAGATAAGTTGTGTGGGCGAACGTCCAGAATTCTTCTGGCTTCCCGATAGCCTCGATTCGCCCGGCCCATGTGCCGATCACGCACATGCGCGACTTTTCATGCTCTGGCAACGGGCGCAGATTTGCCGGCAAGATGTGAACCGTGGGAGGCTCCTTCATGCGCACCGCTTCGAATTGGGCCTCTAAAACCGATGAGCTGAACTATACGAAAAAGACGGTAACCTTGCAAGAATTTGGCCGCGTTCCTCCTCGTGTATTCGGGCTCAAAGTACGAGCACTCAGCTTTGACCAAATGCGGGAAGCTAAATTTGTCGGTGCCATCTCGGCCGCGGCGCTTTTTGTGAACAGCCTCCTCGCCCTCGCCAGCTTCTTCTTCGACGTCATGCTTCTTCTTTTTTGAGAGGCCCATGTTGAACTCCATCGTGTCTTTGTGGACAGAGTCGACGCGAGAGCCCCATAACGCAGTACTTCTCACGAGCATTGTTGACGCTTCCGGAAAGTTGAAACCAGCGGTATCGTGTTGTTCCTAAAAAGTTTATGGCAGAGTGCATAACAAAGCATACGTGATCAAACGTCGCCTCGGCGGCCGCATTTTCGATGGCCGCGTAGTACTTCGCCAAGTGCTAAAAAGTCGTTTTGAAGCAAAGTGGTAACGACGTACGTCTTCGAGATCGAGGTTAAACAGACGCTTCAGATCCGCCACCGACTCGAGCAAGTCGCGGAAATGCGCAAACTCGTCTGAGCGCTTTTTCTTGGCATCAGCCATCTGAAATTCAGCGAGTATGGAGAGGAAAAAGGCAGCGAATGCATGAACGAGCAGGTAGAGTGCCTAAGCATGGAAGAAAAAGGTTGGGAGGAGTTATCCTACTATATCCTACTATATATAAAAAAATAGTGTTTGTGTGTGTGTATATTTGCATGCACTTCCGTTTGGATGTTCCGCGCCACAGCCTCAGGGAAGCATTTTTCGGTAGGGAAAAACGTCATAGGGTAAAGAGGGGCGGAATCGACTACACACATAAAAGTTTTGAAAAATTGCTATTTTCGATATTAAAATTAGGTTTTTGTAAAGTTTTCGGCCAACCTCTTTGTTAGGGAGCAATTAGCATACGCCGGAAGTGGAAATGGCTTATAAAAAGGAAGAGAGGGCGCGCTTTTCATTTTTGGTGAGCGGTTTTCGGCAAGAATTATGCAAAGTCAATACTTCATCGATCCTAGACGGGGCCAGGGTTGAAAAGCCGCGAAGCGGTTTTTCAACCCTGGTTACTAAGAAAAACAACGACTTTCCAATCCTCTAAAAGCGTAGATTTGCAAAAAAAGAAGGTGGTGGGTGGTTTGAATTGGTGGTTCACGCGGCAGTGAGGATGTAGTCTGGTGCGCGCCGTCCGGGTGAATGCATAATAAAAAATTAGAAAGAAGTACAAATCATAACCCGCAAACCAAAATAAACAAACGGAAAGTAAGAAAAACTTTATAAGGTGCTTTACAAAGTTAGAAGTCAAATACAGATGTAACCTTACTGGGCTAAAACTTTTTACAACGACAGAACCATTAGTTTTTGGGTTTTGTTAATTTTTGAAAGTTTCTGCGCCGTTCTCAGGGCCTCCGTATTTTTACCATTGAGTCTATTATCGCTCATTTTCACGAAAAGCATGCGACTTCTATTCCCGATGGCAAGCTGCACCGCTTTGCGCTCCCAACCGGTCCGGGGGCCTCCGAGTTATCCATCTATTTTCAGTTAAACGTCTCCACTTCTGCTCCTCGATGCGTTTTACACTTTCACGGTCAACGCCCGGTCATCCGAACTTCGGTGATGCCAGGACGATTGCTGAAAACCGGCCTGAGGGGGGCAATTATTGAGTGTCGCCTCGTTTGCACGGGCTCCTCGTGTTTGGGGGCCCCGCAGCCGTCTTTTATTTGATCAGCACGCCCGCTTCATTGTCGACCCAGTCGCTCGTCGGATCGATGCTCCGTTCCACCGTCGTATTCTGAAGACCATACGCTTCGACTCGCTTTGATTTGAGAGTTAGCTGTTAGGGTGGGTGTACGTCTTTTCATAGTAGAAATCGTACGAAGGCTAAATGCAGTAGCTAGTCCCCATTAAAATCAAGTTTTACACATGTTTTAGGATGGTTCCATCTTCTTTTTCGGTGCTTATGCATTATCGGTGGGGGATTAGGTCAACTTTTCTTCCTTCGCATAAAATTCTGCGGTTTCCGCATTGTTTTTACTATTTCGAAAGTATAAGCTTGACGAATTCTCATCGAAGAACAGTAGAAAAATATCGATTTTTTTTTGTGGTGTTTTTAGGTAGTTTTCGACTTGAAATCTACTTGAATTTACTAAGAATTATTTAATCTACTATATATAAATTTCTATGTCCGTGCGCCCGTCCGACCGGGAATTCAATCCCGCCGCGAACCCCCTGAATACCGTAGTCGGGGGCTGAAAATTTTCACCGGAGCCGGAGCGTTTCGCCTTTTTCCCCCGAAAGGGCCAGGGCAGAAAAATCTCGGTTCAAAGGGTATTGTAGCCATTCCAAGGTTTTTGGATGTTTTTTATTATTATCTAAGAAGGGGAAATAACTTTCTTTCAAGGGTATTCTAGCCATTACGCGTTTCTTAGATGTTTTTTTAGTAACTAAGAAGGGGAGATGAGTTTCTTTCAAGGGTATTCTCGCCATTACGCGTTTCTTAGATGTTTTTTTAGTAACTAAGAAGGGGAGATGAGTTTCTTTCAAGGGTATTCTAGCCATTACGCGTTTCTTATAGGTTTTTTTAGTAACTAAGAAGGGGAGATGAGTTTCTTTCAAGGGTGTTGCGGAAGCAAGAAAGAAAGTCTTTGATTGAATTACGCAATGCCAGTACGGCGCACCCCTATCCCCCTCGCCCTGTGTGCGCCCTCCCCGTCCCCCGGCACAAACCCCTTTTTTTGTGCGTGTCTTTTTCATTCTTTCCACTCCGCCCGTCTTGTCTGGCTGCTTGTATTATTTTAGGCTATTGCCGTTATCGTAAATAAACTTTGTTCTCTCTTCTTTCGTCCAAATCAATTCAGGTGTCAAACGACTCTCTCGCAAGGTATCCCCTTGGATTGAGCCAGCACTCAAGAACTCACGCACACCCACACCTACAACAATTGGCGAGCAGGATTCGAGCCCGGATTGAAGAATGGCCGACGACCCCGAGCTCAAGGACGTGCTGAAGCAGCTCGCCGCCGCGAACCAGCAGATGACCGCTGTCATGGTCGCTGGACAAGAGCGAGAAGCCAAGCTCATGGCTGAGCTCGAGCGGATCCGCGCCGAGGTCCAAACGCACACGGACTCGGTTAGCGAAGATTCAAGCCAAACCCAAAGGCCTCTGAATGCAGTCGAGTTGGGCGCTCTAGCCACTCGCATAAGTCGATTCGAGTATGACCCGTCCCAGGGGATTACGTTCGAAAAATGGCATGAGCGGTTCACAAACCTCATCGCCACCGAATCGCGCATCTCGGAGGAGAACAAAAAGCATCTTGTTCTCGGGATGTTGGATGCCAAATCCTATGGCTTGCTGGCGGATCATGCTCGACCCAAAGAGCTGGCCTCCATCGCATACGACGACATCGTCAAGCATTTGACTGAGATGTTTGGAGAAAAGCTGTCGCTTTTCAGTCGACGTTTCCTCGCCTTTCGCGTAGCGAAAGAGCACGATGAGGATATGCGATCCTACGCCGCTCGCGTCAACAAATTATACGAGCAAGGGTGTTTCAAGGGTGTTGCGGAAGCAAGAAAGAAAGTCTTTGATTGAATTACGCAATGCCAGTACGGCGCACCCCTATCCCCCTCGCCCTGTGTGCGCCCTCCCCGTCCCCCGGCACAAACCCCTTTTTTTGTGCGTGTCTTTTTCATTCTTTCCACTCCGCCCGTCTTGTCTGGCTGCTTGTATTATTTTAGGCTATTGCCGTTATCGTAAATAAACTTTGTTCTCTCTTCTTTCGTCCAAATCAATTCAGGTGTCAAACGACTCTCTCGCAAGGTATCCCCTTGGATTGAGCCAGCACTCAAGAACTCACGCACACCCACACCTACAACAATTGGCGAGCAGGATTCGAGCCCGAATTGAAGAATGGCCGACGACCCCGAGCTCAAGGACGTGCTGAAGCAGCTCGCCGCCGCGAACCAGCAGATGACCGCTGTCATGGTCGCTGGACAAGAGCGAGAAGCCAAGCTCATGGCTGAGCTCGAGCGGATCCGCGCCGAGGTCCAAACGCACACGGACTCGGTTAGCGAAGATTCAAGCCAAACCCAAAGGCCTCTGAATGCAGTCGAGTTGGGCGCTCTAGCCACTCGCATAAGTCGATTCGAGTATGACCCGTCCCAGGGGATTACGTTCGAAAAATGGCATGAGCGGTTCACAAACCTCATCGCCACCGAATCGCGCATCTCGGAGGAGAACAAAAAGCATCTTGTTCTCGGGATGTTGGATGCCAAATCCTATGGCTTGCTGGCGGATCATGCTCGACCCAAAGAGCTGGCCTCCATCGCATACGACGACATCGTCAAGCATTTGACTGAGATGTTTGGAGAAAAGCTGTCGCTTTTCAGTCGACGTTTCCTCGCCTTTCGCGTAGCGAAAGAGCACGATGAGGATATGCGATCCTACGCCGCTCGCGTCAACAAATTATACGAGCAAGTTCACTCGGGTATTTCTCAACAAGTTCCTTTTCCAGCTTTGATTGCTTTACTTGAACCTTATTGACACACAATTCATCGAAACAGGATGCGAATTGTGGCAGCTGATTGATCCAATCCAGCCCCATCAACCGAATGTCTTTGGTGACAAAGCAACGACCATGTCCCTCAATGCCTTTCACTTGAAAGCGGGTTTCAAACAGTCCTTTCACGTCAATTCGACTACCGTTGGCAGCACGTAGTTGAATATCGGACGGCGTAAGTGGTGGGCAATTCAACTGATGCCACACAGCCTCGTCAATAATAGTTACGGCGGCGCCAGTATCTAATTGCAGCGTAAAATGATTGCCTTCGATTGAGATTTCAACATCCTTGCGTGTTGAATCAATAGCATTGATCTGCACAACCTGGTTCACCTTCGGTTTCCAGTCCTTGTTTCGGTTTTGTTTTCCTTGCTTGGAAAAACTACCTCCACGGTTTCCAGAATCTGAGCGACACTCTTTTGCCCAGTGTCCTCGCTTTCCACAATGATGACACACATCATTTCGTTTGTCTCCACGGGGCCGATCATTGGCATCACAAGGCTTTGAGCCACCATTGCTAGAGGTAGGCTTTGGGCCCTTGTTCCAATTCTTTCGGTATCCCGACTGCTGGATACGGTTGACACTGGCATGCTGTTCGACCACAACATCCATGTTCAGGCTCGTCTGCAGGTCACACTCGCGCAGCAGATCATCCAGTTTCACGTCATTCTTTGACTCAAGAATACGGATCAATTTCTTGCGGATGTCGCGATGTGCCTGGTCTGACAGTCCAGCAACGAAAAGTAAACACTTTTCTTCATCTTCCTTCATTTCCTTGACGCGACCTTGCTCGTATAATTTGTTGACGCGAGCGGCGTAGGATCGCATATCCTCATCGTGCTCTTTCGCTACGCGAAAGGCGAGGAAACGTCGACTGAAAAGCGACAGCTTTTCTCCAAACATCTCAGTCAAATGCTTGACGATCGTCGTCGCCGCTGATGCCAGTGAGCAAGGCCTTGGGGCAGTCATTACCCACCGATTCGCTGATGGAACTGAAAAAGCAATCGCACATGCTAGCAGAGCATTGACTGTGGCAGAAAAGAACTATAGCCAGATTGAAAAAGAAGGCTTAGCCCTCGTATTCGCAATTCGGCGCTTCCACAGATACATCTACGGAAGGCGTTTTGTATTACTGACGGATCATAAGCCCCTTTTACCGATATACGGGTCGAAAAAAGGAATCCCACAACACACCGCAAACCGTTTGCAAAGGTGGTGTTTGCAATTGAACAACTACGATTTTTCTATCGAATATCGTAACACGACCAAGTTTGGTCAAGCGGATGCCCTTTCCCGTCTGATTCCGCCAAATTCGGATCCTGAAGAAGATGTCGTGATTTCGCAGATAGAAATCGACATTTCAGCCGTTTTTGAGGATAAATTGAGCCAAATCCCAGTTTCACACAAGGAAATTGCTGAGCAAACTGAACAGGATTATTCACTCAGCAGTGTGATTGACTCTCTGAAAAGTGGTTCTTTTCCAGACTGTTTGCCAGGCTCGTCGTTGTACGCCTACAAAAGTCTTGTAAATAACTTGTCAATCCACCGAGGCTGTTTGTTTCTGAAAGAGCGAGTTGTTGTGCCGAAAAGGCTACAATCGCGAATCCTGAAAATGCTTCATGAAGGTCACCCGGGCCAAACGAGAATGAAATTGCTCGCAAAGCAATATGTGTACTGGATTGGCATGGATTCAGACATCGATCGCATCGTGAAAGAATGCGAAGGCTGTCAGAAAGCCCAGAAGATGCCTGTAAAAAGTGAATTGACTCCCTGGCCTACCCCAAATCGTCCAATGGAGCGCGTGCATATTGATTATGCCGGTCCGATTGATCAAAAATGTATTTGATCGTTGTCGACGCTTACTCAAGATGGCCTGAAATCTTTGAGTGTAAGGTGGCAACAAGCCGAGTGACGATTGCCCAGTTGAGAGATGTTTTCTCGAGGTTCGGAGATCCGGAAACGCTCGTTTCGGATAACGGAACTCAATTCACTTCGAAGGAGTTTGAAGATTTCTGTAAGGAACGTGGAATTACCCATATTCGCACGCCGCCGTTCCATCCCCAGTCGAACGGATTGGCCGAACGTTTCGTCGATACCTTCAAGCGCGCTTTGAGCAAAGCCGCTGGTTCGACTAACGCTGAAACTTTGCAAATTTTTCTGCGAACTTATCGGTCCACCCCTTGCCCATCTTCACCAGAACAGCTATCTCCGGCTGAAAGGTTTATCGGGAGAAAGCTCGTTACTCCCATTGCTCGCTTGCGTCTGCCTCAGAGCAACAGCAATTCTTGTGCGAATCTCATCTTTCCGAAGGGGGAGAAGATGAAGATGGTTGAACAGTACAACCGGAAGCACGGCGCAAAGAAGCGTTCCTACGAAATCGACCAGACCGTCTGGGTTCGAGATTATAAAATACCTAGCAAACCTGTCTGGGTAGAAGGACGTATTTCTAAACTGTGTGGAAAGTCCATGTACGAGGTTGAAACTACCTCTGGAGTCGTTTGGCGTCGACATGCCAACCAGCTTCGTGCTCGATTCGTTCGAGACGTGCTCGATGATATCTTGGAAGAGTTCGATCTTGCCAGCGATGATAAAGTCAATGTGCAGGACACTGCTCCACCTCTTGACAAGCCTCTCGAGAAGTCAGCCGCATCATCCGCCACAACTCCTACATTGATTCCCCTTGCACCTGTTCCGAATGTTCCCCATCCCACTGCTCACCGGCCGACAACACCAACCAAGTCGCCAACAAAGTCGCATCCACCATCACCGGCAAGATCACCAGCCGTGCCGCGACGACCTCAAGTTGAACTGCCCGAAATCGTTGCTCAACACCCGCAAATTGAACAACTCGATGACGTTGTTCCACAACCGCCAGGACGCAACGACGAACCTGAAGTTCGTCAACAAGATCAAGCACAACCTGTGAAGAAGACAAAGAAGACTGATGCTCTTGGACCGATCCTTCACCACAAGCGCATCCGGAAGCCGCCGTCGCGATATCAAGATTGAAGTGCCGTCAACGTCGTCTCCATCAAGCTCAACTTCATCACCGAGTCAAGCTCTTCATTCAAGGAGGAAGATGTTGCGGAAGCAAGAAAGAAAGTCTTTGATTGAATTACGCAATGCCAGTACGGCGCACCCCTATCCCCCTCGCCCTGTGTGCGCCCTCCCCGTCCCCCGGCACAAACCCCTTTTTTTGTGCGTGTCTTTTTCATTCTTTCCACTCCGCCCGTCTTGTCTGGCTGCTTGTATTATTTTAGGCTATTGCCGTTATCGTAAATAAACTTTGTTCTCTCTTCTTTCGTCCAAATCAATTCAGGTGTCAAACGACTCTCTCGCAAGGTATCCCCTTGGATTGAGCCAGCACTCAAGAACTCACGCACACCCACACCTACAACAAAGGGTATTCTAGCCATTACGCGTTTCTTATAGGTTTTTTTAGTAACTAAGAAGGGGAGATGAGTTTCTTTCAAGGGTATTCTAGCCATTACGCGTTTCTTATAGGTTTTTTTAGTAACTAAGAAGGGGAGATGAGTTTCTTTCAAGGGTATTCTAGCCATTACGCGTTTCTTATAGGTTTTTTTAGAATCAAAGAAGGGGAAATAACTTTCTTTCAAGGGTATTCTAGCCATTACGCGTTTCTTAGATGTTTGTTTAGAATCAAAGAAGGGGAGATGAGTTTCTTTCAAGGGTATTCTAGCCATTACGCGTTTCTTAGATGTTTGTTTAGAATCAAAGAAGGGGAGATGAGTTTCTTTCAAGGGTATTCTAGCCATTACGCGTTTCTTATAGGTTTTTTTAGTAACTAAGAAGGGGAGATGAGTTTCTTTCAAGGGTATTCTAGCCATTACGCGTTTCTTATAGGTTTTTTTAGTAACTAAGAAGGGAGATGAGTTTCTTTCAAGGGTATTCTAGCCATTACGCGTTTCTTATAGGTTTTTTTAGTAACTAAGAAGGGGAGATGAGTTTCTTTCAAGGGTATTCTAGCCATTACGCGTTTCTTATAGGTTTTTTTAGTAACTAAGAAGGGGAGATGAGTTTCTTTCAAGGGTATTCTAGCCATTACGCGTTTCATATAGGTTTTTTAGTAACTAAGAAGGGGAGATGAGTTTCTTTCAAGGGTATTCTAGCCATTACGCGTTTCTTAGATGTTTTTTTAGTAACTAAGAAGGGGAGATCGGTTTCTTTCAAGGGTATTCTAGCCATTACGCGTTTCTTATAGGTTTTTTTAGTAACTAAGAAGGGGGGATGAGTTTCTTTCAAGGGTATTCTAGCCATTACGCGTTTCTTAGATGTTTGTTTAGAATCAAAGAAGGGGAGATGAGTTTCTTTCAAGGGTATTCTAGCCATTACGCGTTTCTTATAGGTTTTTTTAGTAACTAAGAAGGGGAGATGAGTTTCTTTCAAGGGTATTCTAGCCTTTACGCGTTTCTTATAGGTTTTTTTAGTAACTAAGAAGGGGAGATGAGTTTCTTTCAAGGGTATTCTAGCCATTACGCGTTTCTTATAGGTTTTTTAGTAACTAAGAAGGGGAGATGAGTTTCTTTCAAGGGTATTCTCGCCATTACGCGTTTCTTAGATGTTTTTTTAGTAACTAAGAAGGGGAGATGAGTTTCTTTCAAGGGTATTCTAGCCATTACGCGTTTCTTAGAGGTTTTTTAGCATCAAAGAAGGGGAAATAAGTTTCTTTCAAGGGTATTCTAGCCATTACGCGTTTCTTAGATGTTTTTTTAGCATCAAAGAAGGGATACAACCTTTTTTTTCACAGAGAATTCTGGCCATTCGGCAATTCTGAGATGTTTTTTGGTATCAATGAAGGGAATTCACGTTGTTTCAAAGGTCATTCTAGCCATTACAACTTTCTTCTATGTTTTTTTTTATTTTTATAGAAGGTTATAGCTTTGCTTCTAGGGGGTGTGCTCACCATTACACTTCCCTTCTATTTTTGTTTAGGATCAGCTACGGCTGTTCGGGGGTTTCTTTCAGGGGGAAGAGGAGGAGTGGAAGGTTCTTTGGGTTTCGAGGAGGTGTATAGGTAGATCACGGAAGGTATCCGCGCCAAGCGGGAAATATACTAAAGAGAATGAGAGGCGCCCTGTATTGCCTTGCCCCCCGGGAGGGCCAGTCGATAGCAGCCGCGAAGCGGCTGTTATCGACTGGTTACTAGCTATTAAGTTACTAGGTAGCTCTGGAGATTTACGAGTCACTTTTTTTTCTCCCCTTTTTCCATTCTCTGGTCTGGAAATGTGCACGGGATCCCGTAAAATCCCACGTTTGTGCACGGGATCGCCTGAAATCCCGCGTAATCCCGCGTTTTGCGCACGGGATCCCGCGAGCCGAATTTGCGCAGGGGATCCCGTGATTTGGGCGCGGGATCCCGCGGGATCCCCCGCGCAGATGACGGGATCCCGTGGGCATCTGCGGGCCCAGTCTACGCACGGGATCCCGCACCCAAATCACGGGATCCGGTGCGCGCGGTTGTAGTTTGTACACGAAATCTCCAAGCACGATCGATCGAAAGCATTCTTATCATTTTTTTTATTTTTAACGCTATGTTTAGATGCTAGAAATTAAAACAAAATATCTATGTACGGACGCCGACGGCATGAGGTAGGTCACCAGGTATGTGGATTTCCTTCAATGATCTGCTTTTGGCGGACGGATAAGATTGATTGCTTCTTTTTTTTGATTTTGGATTCTGAGTTAATTATCTGGTTTAGCATGATGCTGCGATCAAGGACCAATGACTTCCAGGTGGGTGAACGCAAATGATGGAATAGATGATTTAGATTTTCGTCGACACAACGCTAGTAATCATTTGAATTCTAATTCTATGAAACTTAAGCTACTGGGCGTCTCTACGATCCTGCTCGGCCACTATGAAAACTTCAAAGCTTTTCCTTTTGACTTTTCCTTTACTATGCAACTTATCATCTTTATTGCGAACCAACCGTATCCTAAAGATTTTG